TAATTATATCCACGAATAAATTCATATCAAATCGAATGTAATAAATATTTCGGACATTCACCAAAGCATATCTGTGATTGTCGACATACACCGGTGAGGGTCCGAATGTACAAGAATGTAATGAAATATTCGATCTTTCACCGACGTATTTGGTGTTTGTCGACATTCACCGGTGAAAGTCAACAACCACCGATTTCGGTCTTTCGCCGTGACATATATGCTGTTTTAATAACTTTTTCGGCAATTACTGCTACAAGTTTGTTTGTTTTTTTTTTTTTGAAATCCTATTGTCTTTCATTGCTTAATTATTATTGATATTCTCGTGATTTTTAAAAAAGCTATATTAATAACGTGAAGTACGATTCAAGAAATCACTCGTTGGCTTGGTTTGCATCAATATTCTCGTTAATCCATGCAGTGTTACAATCGTTCTTTCGACAGTTAATGCTACGAATTTTAATTTTTTTTTAATATATATACATACAATTTGTTACACCCGAAATTAAAATTACTTATTTGATTCTTTACTTTAAATGTCACGATTTCATAGTTTTTTCGGCATCGTTTGTTTTACTTTTTAATATTGCTAGTGCTACCGATTCACTCGGGGTTTTTTAAAATTCCGTTGATCTTAATTTTCTTAATTAGTTGATCTTATTTTTCACGCATAAAATTTGAACCGCGCGGAAAAATTTGTACATTTTAGTCTTTAATTCTTTACCACTTAAATTTTTTTTAAAATCAAAAGTGGAGTTGGCCACCTTGGACAGCATTATTTAAACTAGACAATGTTAGGTTGTATACAAGTGTGATCACCTATTAGAAGCTGTACCAGATAATGTAAGGTTTTATAGAAAATTTACCTAACAGGCCACTCATGGCTTCTTCAGACCAAAATCTTTTCTCATTCACAGAACTATCTTCAATTCAGCATTTTAAGTTACAATTTGTTACTGATTGCAGTTCTGTGAGGAGGTACTTGATTAGCTCTCAAAATATTGGCATGCGATTGTAGAACTAGTCAACTATTTTCATCTATTTTGAGTTTGTATAAAGTTTCCTTAATTGTAAAAGTAAAATTTGCATCTGGAACAATTTTTTTTCCTCTAAAAATTAATGATTTGAAAAAGTGTAGAAAATTGTTTTCATTTAAAATGTTTTGCAAGCAAAGCTTATTGTGTCAAGCAAAACATAGCTACTCCAATTGAATTGGAGCTGTTGCTTGGGATTATTAAATGTTAAATTCAAATGTAAGTACAAAAGGTAAGACTAGGTATTATAAATACATTACGTGCCTTGAAGTCTTTAAAACTCCTTACCAACTACAATTTTCATTTGAATCACACAATTATCCCTTTTCTCCTTGGATAAAATCAGTACCACACGATTTTGATGCTACTCATTATAAACTACCAACTTTTTTCTGTACAGGCCCATAAGAAAAAATAAAATGTTTTATGTATGTAAAAACTATTTTTATGTGTGTGTGTTAATTACTGTGTTTTATGTGTGTAATTTTCTTCGAAATTGTAAATAAACTATTATTATAATTTGTGTGTCTTAAATTTTTTTTATTTTAAAACTACATTGGAGACTACTCTTATGTCCTGTAACGTTTTGAAATGCAAACTTTCTACCTCACTCTTACAAAAAATGGTAACCCGTTTCGATTATTCGTTCGGGCAATTAACCAATCCTATCGGCAACTCCGGAACACGAAATTGCCTTTAGAGTTGAAACCTCCGCACGGTTTCTGGTAAGTAGGTCGATCAGACCACTATGATGGCCAACCAGTTTACAAAAGAGCCATTTAATAGAAAATCTAGTAAAAATAAATACGTAGCAAATATGTATCTAAAAGTTTGTTTAATTTATGAATATGATTGGTTTGTCTTATTCATTTGTCAACCACTACAGATTCAATTCTCATATGATAAATTTCTATCTCTCATTCTTCTCATATATGATACATTTCTCTCGATTAGTTTTAAAATAGAATTTGGGTTCATGTGCACAACTGGTTCACTTTTTAAATAGTTTGCTCGGACTATTTATAAAAAACCGTGTGGAGGCTTTCTGATGCGGGAGGTGATGGCTAATCACGGGAGCTTAAATTGTAACATTTGTGGGTGAAATCTTTTCCAGCCAATTTAAACTTTTGAAATTATCCAATCATTTTTTAAAAAAAAAAACGTTACACTAAGCGACTGTTTAAGTAATCATTTCTCTTTCTTGATTCCGGTGACACGCAAGATGCTTCGAAAGCAAAAATAAATGTTAAATAAATAAACACTGAAGTTGACGTTTGCAGAAGTTCAATAAAAGTTCTTGGAGTTGACTACTTCTTCCTTCTCAATTTATGATCTATTCCGAAGGGACAACGACTACATTATCCCTTCGGAATAGAATAGCATGTCTAAAGATCCTTCGAAATCGATGGCGCGTATATCGACTGCAACATACATCCCTTTAGTTTTCAATTTATGATTTATTCCATGATAATTTTAATCCATAATTCCGATGATAGTGATGAAAACGATATTGTAATAAGATGATCAAAAACTATTGGAAGATAAACACACAACGGATTAAGAGATTGAAACTCTGACGCGTGTGCAAATGTAAACGATAAAGCAAATTTGAAAACAATAGTAACTATTAAAGGAGATGTTATCGAAATTGTATCTGGGCACAACAAGCAAAAATTACAATTATTCAAATAGTTCCAATCATAAGTGACAATTTTTGAAAAATAAACTTTTTTTTGCGATGTTTTATTTAAAGCGTTTTTTAACGCTAGTCCGATGGAAAACGTAAAATCGAGGTTCTACCGTAGTTGCATATTTTTGAGCCGGAGGAAATTTATTTATTTCGCCATCATTTATAATGATAAATACATTATTATCAGGTTGTTATTTTGTTTTGTTAATTTATACGTCCTGAAGATAAAATTTCTTTCAAAAATAATTCATAATCAAGGAACCAAAAAAGTTTTTTTTTTTTTAAAAAAACTTTTTTTTCGTCAAAAAGGTCATAGTTGGTAGCTGTATAGAAAAAAATAATTTTGTTTTGCTAATATTTAAAGTGCTACTGGCTATTATCGTGATAAGTTTGCCTCCAGCCTACCTGAAGAGAAGGGCCAACATGTTTCGCTCGGCAAGAACGTGTGAAGAAATGCTCGCAGCAATTAATATGTCGTCTCGTTAAGCAATCACTGTACATGTTCCTTTCCTTCAAACTCCTTGGTACACACCTTATCGATCAGGGTGGACTGTTTCATTATTAACCACAAAAAAAATTTATTTGCTAATGTATTTTGGGGATTAGTAAAATAACTTGCTTCTTAAATTTTTCTCCACCAATTTTTTTTTTTTTAAATTTTCTCTCGGTTGTAGAATATTAATGTCTTTTACTTAACAAGTATATACAACAATGAGAGTCGTTAAATTGTTTAAAAATAATAATCAAGTATAGAAAGAAAATGTATTTGCTAATGTATACCAGGTAGTGGCACTTAACTTGA